TCTCTGAGAACAAAGCATGTTTGTCATTCTTTTTGCTTTCAGCCATTTTGTTCTGTCTGTGAGTTATGGTGTTATTATATCACAGATATAATAATGCCCATAATGGGGGAATTCAAATGGGGGAATAAATCTTTCTTCTATAGCTCTCTCCCATTACAAATCCAATTAAAGAATCATTTCACTTGAGTTGTATATATAAATGCATTGAAAAATCAAAGAAGCATATTCATTGATGAGTACTAAAATTGGACATATCTTACTTTGGTAAAATTTTGTCAGATTTAATAAATCAATTATTGAGTTTATGGATGCGTAATGTACCTGTAGAAAAAAAAGTTACATTACTGGGGTTTGGATGAAAATGTCATGATACAGTAATAAATATGATACTACAAAGGCAATGAAATATATATGTTATACTCCATTTCAAATTAGATCTCTTTCTGATTCACTCTGTATGTCAGATGTGAATACTAAGAAAGCAAGATGCAAAATAAAAAAATATCATCCTTTGTGCAGGTGCTCTGAGTATTACATCAGGCCCACAAAACAAATCACCTCAAAAAAATATAAAATAACAACATAAAATAAGCCAATGTTGCCACCAAAGAAAAAAAACATGAGCAAAAGAGGAGTCAAGAGTCATTTGCTTTTTAAGAAAGCTGCTCATAAATGACTGTAACAGAATCATGGCAAACAGGCCAGCTGTTGATGCCCAGCAGTTCCTCAAAAGTCATCACCATAATTTTGGTCAAACATACATATCCACTCCACACCATACCCACACAGAGACATTCCTTACCCATCCTCTGTTCTGGCAACTAAAGAACCATATATTAACAATTTTGTTATCTATTCACACTGCCTCACAGACAAGTTATTGCTGATTTCATTTGTTCTCCCATCCAACCAAAATCTGAAACTAACAACTTGTGTCAGTGTGCAGCAAAGAGAACTAATGAAATGAACCCTCCAACAATGAAAAAAGAACTGCAATACCTCAATGGATGTCTTGTTTGGATCCAACAAATCCTTGAGACCCATCTATGCAAACAAATCCAATCCGACTCTTTCTTTGCCCTGATAGCTTCTATATACGAACTTAACACAGCCAGTGAACTATTTGTCTGGACCAAAAAACAAAATCAAGAAGCACCTCTCTTCACACCAATCATCTTATTTCCCAACTGTACTGGACTCTTCACACTCACTACTGATTCTAGCAGTATTGCGTGCAGAGCCATCCTCATGCAAGAAACTGAAAATGGATGAAAAAATGATTATAGCAATTGCTTCGCATACTTTAAGCCTAACAGAATATAACTGATCTACCACCAAGCATGAAGCATTTGCTATAAAATGGGCCATAACCAAATTTGATTACTTCCTCTGTAGCTGCCCTTTCATCTCGTTCAACCATCATTGAATTCGTCACTTCCACTTTTGTCTGGGGAACACATAAAGGCACAAAACTCCAGATCTGTTGAAACCACTCAAACACTATCCACAACTAATACAAAAATTACAAAAAACAAACATGGAGACAACCCCCAAAACACTTCAAAGACTTCATCATGCACTAATATCAACAGTGCAAACACACCAACACAAAAATAAATACATACATTCTTTCTGCTCATATCTACTTATTACTTATGAATTAGATTGAGATCAGGGGAGCTTTTATACTCCACTTCAAATTAGATCTCTTTCTAATTCACTCTATATGTTGGCCAGATGTGAGCACTAAGAAAGCAAAATCCAAAATAAAAAAAATCATCCTCTTTGCAGAGGCTTCGAGCATCACATCCAGTCCACAAAAAAAATCCTCTCAAAAAAATATAAAATAACAATATAAAATAAACCAACATTGCCACAAAACAAAAAAAAAAAAAAAAAAAAAAAACATGAACAAAAGATGACCTCAAGAGTAAAGACATTTGCTTTTAAGAAAGCTGCTCATAAACAACAGAGACAAAATCATGGTGAATATGCCATTTGTCAATGCCTGGCAAGTTATCAGCATCACCACCTGTGATTTCAGCCAACCGACCTGACAAACACATTGGCTCCATACTTTACCAACTCTACTCTTCTGTTAAAAGCCACCTCCCTGCACACAATTTGATTGTTCACTCACATCCTCTGTATCAGCAATATAAAGAATTTTATATTAACAATTCTTGTCTTTTTTCCATGAGCCATTAGTCTCACCAGCAGTACTTGTTTCATTTGTTCTTTCATGCTATTATTACACATTTTATAACATATATATAAAGAGTCAAAATCTTGGTGAGATAAATGAAAGATATTTCAAAATTGGGAATGGGAGTTTTTATATAGACTGAGAATTATTACAGATACTATGTCTATTAAGGTCAGTGTGGCTGCCATCAGTTATTTTGTTCTAGATAAATAAACAAGTGCCTTTCAGTACATTTCCAAATTCCTCTAGTGACAGTCACTCTAGTTCACTCCCTAAAATAGTCCCTAAAGAAATGGTGAGTTTTAGTCACTCTCTCATAAAAAAAGAACCCTAATGCCAAAACAATGCCTTTTTGTTTTTCTTATAAGCAAAATACTTACTTTATAAATTGGTATTTTGACAACAAAAGTTTTTCCACAAGTTGGATATTTAAAATTCTTGGCAGGACAGAATGGTATGGCAACCCTAATTTATTTTTTGAGCTGCTGGACTTTCATGCTTACCATTATTCCTACATGCCCTTATATAGCAGCAATTCAGATTTAATCAAATCTTTTTGGAGTCAGACTCTGGGCAAGAGATGTTAGTCTCTTGGGGTCAGGCATATTAGAAGATACCTCTGTCAGTATTTTTTCTTTGTTTTCGCTACTCTATCCCCTTAATTTGCTTTCTGCCTACTTGCCAACAAGATAAATAATATTTCTTCTTACTTTAAACACAATAGGGTTTTTTTACTAAATTGTAAATTTACTATTTTTAACACTTTCCTTTCTAGTAAAGTAAAAACTTTCTTAGTTTTTTCAAAATCTTTCCCCCATGTATTGGGTGGTAAGTTTAAGGAGTAAATTTTTTTATGCCTTAATTGTAGAAGAGGTTAGCTGTTAGTTATTTGTGCTATACACACATCTTATATATAATTTATTAACATATAAATTTTTCTCTCCCTTGTATTTTGACTAATTTTCACATTTTTTGCCATTTTTTTGTGCCACACTTGGCTTTGAGATATACTGTTGCAATATTTTTTGAATGTTTGCATGTTTGTTAAATGATATTTTGTATTATTTTGTATCAACATGCTTTTTAATGTCTTTGTTTTAATTATTTGCAGTTTTCACAGCTGCAATAGTATGTTTTGACAAATAAAAACCTTAGATATACTTCACATAGTTGTTAGTTCTCTCAAAAACAAGTCAGATAAAAGTTGAAGGCAATTACAATCAGTCTTGAAATTCAAGCTCAGTTCAAGATACTCAGATGTTATAAATAGTTAATCTTACAACATTTTATAGACCAAAGTCACAGACTTTACAGGATTTCTCATGACTTTCCTATCAAAGACAACTTTCTATTTTCCTAAAAGTAACTGTAGTGAATTATGAAATAGCAAAAAGATTAATTTCACTAATCAACAAATCCTCACTTATGGACACTTACATTATTGTTTAAATTATTGTTCATTGATTACTTTAATATAACAGAATATATTTTATATTCAAATATTTACTTGCAGTCATGTAAAATTTTCCCATGTATTGCTGGAAAGGGTTGCATATCCAAGTTTTTAAATAAAAATTATCTTTCCAAAAACAAATTCCAAAATACAATTTTTGTGATGTAGTAAAATTAAAGTTATATTTTTAGAACAGTGGTCCAATGCATCCTTTTAGTCAGAATGTCATTCACCTTTGTTCCAAGATTGTCCAATGAAAAAAGCACATTCCAAATAATATACATATATTATTGAAAATCTTCATTTTTTTCCATATAAGTACATATACGTGGATTGTTTTTATAGAGGAGTTTTACAAATTTAATAGCAACAGAAAATGTTGATGGATTTGTAAACTTGAATACATGTACAGTAATTTGTTTTAATTCATAACTATTAAATAGATAAACAGAAACATATTTCAATAAACAAAAAGTTCAATAGAATAGCAGGGTATTGTAATTCAATAAACAAAATTCTGTAAATAAAAAACAAGAAAAAGTGAAAGATTTTTCCCTTCCTCCTTTTGAAACCTCTGCAATTCTCTCTGGTTAAGAACTCTGTTGTAGAGAAACTCATCAACAATAGTAAATGATAATGGTGAAATTTTTACACCTCAACATTTGTTTTAAAAATAAGAGATGAACAAGTTTCCTGGTATTCACATTCAGCAGCCAAGGGTGTGATTGATGATGAAAAGTACCTTAAAACCTATAAGAACCAAAACAGCTCCTTGTATTTTAAAATGGTCCCTCATTCATTTTGGTTGGGAATAATGTTGCTTAATTTTAACTAAGTAAAACTGGCTCTGGTTAATGTTCTATGCTTGTAAGTTATCTGCTGAAAATCCAAAGTTTGTAAGTCTAAGGAAATAAAAGCTTTTCAGGCAGAGAATATGTTTGCTCCTATTGCAACAATGTTAAAAACAAATAAGGGTCATTAATCATCTTAATTGCTTTGCATTAGATGTAATTCAAGAAAACAGAGAAGAAAGCATCTTGCATTGTTTTTTTTTTAATCCAAATGGCTTTGAAATGGACCAGCAAAAAAGCTGTAATAGGGAAGTATAAAGAAGTACTTGGCTCTTAACACCTTTTTACTAACACACAATATTTGCTGGCAATATTTTCATTTAATATTACAATATTAAAGAAGTACTGGAACTGGGAAATATTTTTTAGCCATTTTTTTAGGAAAAAGTACTGTTTTATTTAGGATTTTTTCTCTCAAAATTATTAATATATGATTTCCAAAAAGTCTCTAGCATTAAGATAATGGTCAAAAATGGAAGAACTTGCTTACCTCAACAGATGTTGATCCACGGAAACCAAAATCATGCAACATGTATGGTAAACCTGAAAAGTCATCAGCTGTTTCTTGCATACATTTTGCTATTAGATCTTTCTGGTAGTAGGAATTTGTGGCAACAGTCATTGGATACCATACTTGGACTAACAGGGTCTGGGGAAAAAATGGTCAAAATGTGAAAATATTTTTCTAATATCTCTATATTCAATATTTCTGTAATACTATACATTCACAAACTTTTCAGTCAGTGAAAATCAGGTATGTTATCAGTTCAATATACATAATTACTCCAAAAATCATCTCTTTATTAAAAAAAAAACATTTTTCTTCTTCATGCTAATGTTAAGCCAACAGGAGAAATTCACTTTTATGCAGATAATGAATTAATACTGAATATATTAATTTACAATGAAGTCAGTGTTTCTGAAAAATTAAAACAAAGTAACTTTTTTATTATAAGAATATTTTCAATTTTTAATACATAAAATGATTTTTTGTAGGGCTTTGTAGTGAACTTTTAATATCAACATAAGTTTACCATAGTCACTTGAAAAATCACAGAAAACAATTTTAAGTCTATAAACTGAACAGAAAAACAGTTTTGCAACAATTGACAAAAAATAAAAACTTCATAAGATAAATGTAGTAAAGTTAAGTGTAAAAAAAATGAACACAGCCAAAAAATCTTTCTTGTTTAGGCAGAAAGCAAACATTAATCAATGAAGGAATGTTTATGAAAAATATCTCATGCTTATAAATAAAATCTCATTCTAACTGAAATCTCATTTTTAAATAAAATCTCATTCTAATTGAATAAAGTTTTTTCTGTTTAAAACAGTTCATTATTTCAGCAAACTTGGACCTTCCAGCCTGCAAAAAAAGTGTCAAAAGGATGGTTTTTTCATTGACACGGCTATTACTTTAACTACCTTAACTCCTCGGCAATGTTTGTTGCTCTAAAAAATGAGGATTAGAATTGTAATAATGCCTAAACATATAATGAAAGTGAATTTATACATTTTTTTTGTTCTTGAGAATTTACAATGTAGTTAAAATAATAGCAGTGTCAATACGAAAAACTGTCCTTTTAACACTCCAGTTTTTTGTAGGCACAAAGATCCAAGTTTACCATTATTTCTTTATTGAAAAACCAAGTATTCAAACAGAATAAACAACATTTTGATCAACTACAGTTATGGTAAACAAATTATTTGTACAAAGAATGGCTTGACTACTGTTTACCAGGCACATGGTCCTGGTGCAAATCAACAACCTTAATAAAACAGTTGACGAAATGGAATTGATAAACATGTGTGCTGATAATTAGAGACAAAATGAATTCCAAGAAAATCTAAGAATAACAACTAATAATTTAAATGAGATAACCTTGCCTATTATTGTGCTAGATCCGCTATCAATAAGCAATTATATTCAACATAATTTCAATTAACAATAGATAAAGTAATAATAATAGTTCAATTAGGATGATTTGATTGCTCACTGTGTCTTGAAGTGTACTTGTCAAAATATTGTAATGAGATTGCATCATTATTTTAGTCAATTAGGTTTATTCCCTTTAGCTGACTATTTCATTCAAATTGTTGTGTAAGTAGCATTTTTAACTTAATTACTGACAATTTGTATGAATATGAAAAGTTAGTTTATAGATGTAATGGTAGAAATTTAGGTTTAGGAAATCTCTTCAGTACAACAATTGGTATGCTGGTTTACACTTGAAAATAGAACATATACTGAAGCTTACATATTATTGGGTAAACAAAGTATCCTAAGAATTCGTGCTGAGGGAACTTTGGATAGGTAGTCTCATAACATTAGTTGACTGGCACAATTTTACTAGGAAGTTTATGTGAAAATTATAGAACAAGACAGGTAATTGGAGAAGAAGGTATAATTGTTGAGATAGACAAAACAAAATTCTGCAAGAGGAAGTATAATTGTGGTAGAAGGGTAGAGATAAGCAGGTGATAAACCACTACTGCTTTTTTCTGAGTCTGCCGGGTAAACAGTAGCTAAGCTTAAAGAATTATTGCTTTTTGTCAAGGTTGACATTAAAAGTAATAGTTTTTTTACTGCTCTGCTAATGCCTGAACAATTACTCATGAAATAGATGCTTGTCCCAGTGCTGACTCATCTTTTCTTTTCTCTTATAATTGTGGCATGCCAGTGACAAGACATTTTGCTAAGATTGAATGCTTAGATGAATAGACTCATACTAAGGTCATTATTGTAAAGTTAAAAGCCTTGACCAGAATTTGAATCCGACTTGTTGATTCTAATTTCTTTGTTGATATCACCAACCACACTTCCAGAAAATACAAATACAAGAACACAGAAATGAAGTAAAAAATATAATGTGGATACCAAAAAGTAATGCATTAACTTTATTTGTCAGTTTACCTCTTCTATATTAAAAGTCTTGAATACTAGAGAAAAGTTTCAGCATCTTTATCCAAAGATCCATTGTCAACTTTTCAAATTTATTCCTTTTAGTTATTTATTGCTCTTAATCTCAGTGATATTAAACAGAAATCCAGCAAAAGTTAATAAAATTAGTGAAAAGTTTAGTTATGTTTAACCTTTATGCCTACAAAAAACGATGTGTCAAAAGGATGGTTATTCCCTTGGCACAGCCAGGGCCAGCACTGGGGTCTCACCCACACACAAAACCTTGATGCCCCCATCCCACATGCACACTCTACTATATGTCGATTTCAAAGTTTCCTAACCTGGGGTTCACAGACCCTCAAATGAAAATTGGAGGGGAAGTGTAGTGCTTTTTTAAATTACCAAAAATCAGGGAATTATGCAATTTCGATGAAAATTTCAGTACATATTCATTAATTATTTACTTTTATAACGTCCTGTCGATTATTATAGTTAATGATTGACAATATAACTTAGGTAGAAAAAAAGTAAAAAGTACAAAAAGCAAAAAAACACTGCTGAAACTAGTACTTTTGGTCTCCAACCTTGTCAGGGGGTTCCTGTGTAGTATGGACAGCACCTGCCATACAGATACACAATGTATATTATTAGTTGATGACACACCAGCGCTGGGCACAGCTATTACTATATACACTTTTGACTCCCTCAGCTATGTTCATTTTAAAACGTGATGATTAGAATTTTTATAAAACCTAAACATATGAAAGTGGATTTATACATTTTCTTTATTCTTGAGAATTGACAACAAAGATATTAAACACTATTTATATATTAGATTGATTAGTTACAAGAATAATTTTATATTTACAAGATTATAAAAATATGTGAACCAACTATAATGAATGTTTTCCTAGTTATTTATAAATTGGTAAATATTAAATATTGCATTGTATTTGGTTTATATATATTGATAATTTTGTAATTTTTTTATAAATTTTTGAATAAAACAATTTCTTTTCAAATTTATTTATTTATAAAATGGTAAATAAATCTTTATAAAAAGGCAAATAATAAGTATCCCATTGTACAAGTCAAGTGTATATAAGAGAATAAGTACATTTGACACACTGTTTTTTTGCAGACATAAAGGTATACATTGCCAAAAGTTCTATGATTAAAAATGTTATTTGATAAAGTAAAATAATCAATGTCAACAGAATTATCATTTTTGATGGAGACTGGAAAAAGATCTATGAAAAGAGGTAAAACTACAATTTATTTTCATATTTGAATAATATTTACTAGATTTTAATCAGAATTATTGAAAATATATTATATTTTTATGTTATAAGAATTTATGTTATAAAGTAAAAGTTCACAATATAGACTATTTTTTGTGAAAAATATTGAGTTTTATTATTTCAAGATTCTTATTCTATTAAAATCATTTTTACTAAAGTAAATTTAACTTGCTTCTTATACAATCTATGCAAACAAAATTTTAATTTGTAGAGAAATTTAAGAAATTGAAGAAAATTATTGTACAAAACTTAAAGGGCAAAATGATTAAAAGTTTTTACTTTGCTGTAATTGCACCTACTTAATGAGTATGTATTGGTTGAAATAAAAATGCCATAAGCTATGACTATCTAATTATTACAACTATTATGCAAATATATTATAGTCATGAGGAAATATAACTAAGAAATATATTGCATTTTCAATAATACCAGAAATGTGCAAAATGTTTTCCTGATTCGACTGAGGTACTATTTAAAAAGGAACAATATAAACAATATTTTAATTTTTTAAAGGATCAATGGATTTATTCTTAATCTGACATTATTACTTCAATTGTTATTTTTAGTGAATACCTGTGTTTGAAATAGATGCCCCATATTTTATTTTAATCCGTGTGTATTATAACTACTGGTCCATGCACTTGAGAAAACTTAAAGAAAAATATCGACTCTCCTTCACCACCACCACCTGTAGGAGAAACCACTGTTTGACCTAGTGTGCTTTCGAATACTTGGCTACAGAGAATGTCACTGTCTAGAAAAGGTTCTATTTATCCCTTTTAAGGAAACAACATTCCCACGTTCAGATTTTCTCAAAAGCCCATAGCTGCTCAATTTTCTATCCATAAACAAAGCAATTTCTAAACAATCAATGGATTTACTTTTAATGCAACATATTTATTACTTTACATATTATTTTTAGTAGACAGCTGTGTTTGAAATAGACACCATGTTTTCTATTTTAATAAAAACATGGGGCCTCTATTTCAAACACAGTTATCCACTAAAAATAATGTCTGAACATTTTTATTACTTCAAATAAATAATGTTTGAATATTTTTATTACTTCAAGTGTTATTTTTAGTGGATACCCATGTTTGAAATAGACGCCCTGTATTTTTATTTTAATACTCTCAAACTCTGAATGAGTGGAACAGGTTGACTTTCCCAAATATGGAACAACCATTCAATCCACATTTACAACCACTCTGTAGATGCAGTAACAAATGTGATTGCCAAATGGGTCACTTTTGGTACCCATGTTTGAAATAGACACTCAGTTTTTTATTAAAATAAAGATAAAGGTGTGTATTTTCTATAACATTGCATTAATAATATTGATTACTAAGAAACTGGGCAAAATTCCACAATATCAGAAATAAAATGATACACAATATTACACAAAATTAATTATAAGAACAACTCTAGATGCATAATTAAACTACAATCATTTCTTAATCAATTTTGATTTAAATCATACTAATCATGAATTATATATATTAAAATGTTTTGGTACAATATTACATCATATTAATCAGGTAAAACTATTTTATCAGAAATATGAGACATACACAATAGCTTCTTTTACTTAATATTGCATCAATAATATTGATATTAACAAAGCAACTATGTAACTGTGCCAGGAATGCCTAATAGATATATTTTTACCATAATATGAACATTTGTTTTTCATCTGATGTTTGTGAATTGATGAAGTAGCTTAAAGGAATCTTTGCCTTATTCTGTCTTCTTTTTAAATTATTTATTGTTTTTGGTAGTTGTTTACTTATTTGTTGTCTCTTGGTGCTAAAACTTCCTCGATTATCAATAAAATACATTTTTGCTGAACAAGCATCAACATCTGTGGAACTATCAATGAAGCACATACATACAGGTAATTCACTTAACAACAATGGAACATTTAATTTTCACAATAGAGCGGGTTGTCATTTCAATAAAATAGCTGTACATCTTACAGTGGTGAGATGCACCTCGGGTGATGGAATCAGCATATGGGTTGGGCAAGGGATGCATGGTTGGAGTAGAGAGGGAATGAAGCTAAAAAGAAAAAAAAAAAGGATTCCTTTTTTCCGGTTCTTCCTTTCTTTGCATCTCACTGCTCACATTTTTATTGTTTTTCTTTTTGCCAGATTGGATCAGATTAGAAGGATTTTTAGGTTGGATTCTTCAATGAATAAGCACATATCAGGAATATATGACAATGGTACTCAAAGTTGTTAGAAAAGAAATCAATAACTCTACATCCTTTCACTTATATGCACAACATATATATGACAGCATTCTTGACAAGCAAAATATTCCACATATACAAATTCACAAGAGAATATATTTATGTACATGCATGGACAAAGAAAAAACATTCATTACCTTATATATATAAATTGTATGCTCATTTATACATGAACACATCTACTCCCAGTGTATATATATATATATATATATATATATATATATATATACAGACATTTCTTTTCTCATTAGAATCCATTTTACACATTTATAAATCTACCATTTATTAAATGGATAAATAGTAGATTTATAAATGTGTAAGATGGATTCTAATAAATCTACCATTTATCCGTACATTGAATACTGCTGCCACATCTGATCTGATGATATACCTCAAGATACTCAACAAAATCCAAAGAAGGGTCTGTAATGTTTTTGGTTCTGATCTGGCATCTTAACTTCAGTCACTTTCCAAACACCATGATGTAGTTTCCCTCTGGCTTTTCTACAAATATTTTTTTTTGACAGCTCTTCTAATTAGGTCTCCTCCTTAGTACCTCGACAGCATGAATTTATGTGTACTACTAGATTGGTGACTAGGTCATTATTTTACTGTTAAATTAGTTAGATGTAACCATAAACTCTATTCTAATAGTTTTTTTTTTTTTCCTCACATGTTTCACCTGTAGAACTCTCTTCCATTTTCTTTCTTCCCCACCACATACAATCTTCAACAACAATTACAAACTTGTATTTTCTTAACTCTGTTCTTTTATCATCTTTTCTCCTCACTAAATTTTTCTCATTCTCTTTCACTCCCAGTAACCTCTTGCATCTTAGTAGCATTATTGCTTTGCTTGGGATGAAATGATTAAAAATCCCTCTGCATGCAACAGTGGTTATTGGTTCAGAAAGTGGAATATTACGTTTGAGGTCATTGCCATCACTTTTGCACAAATACTCTTTGGAAAGGTATGAATCTGTTTCTTTTCTCCACAGCTATGGGTTAATTAGCAGCGCTGACTGGGCTCTCTAACTTTGGCTGGCAGCCAGTCTAGCAGAAGGAAAACTCTGAATTCAAACCTGTGGAGGATTGTTTGGAGATTTTCTGACACACTGAACTATTTCTCAGTGATCAGTTCTTCCCAAAAACGTAACTGGCTCTTCATATGCCTTCCCCACTATAATGTAGATAGTCTGGCAGTTCAGTTTTAAAATATTCATATGTTGAAATTAATGGGAGAGTCCACCAAAACACCGTTACAAAATATTATCCATACAACTGAATATATATATATATATATATATATATATATATATATATACAAGATAAATGTGGGTGTTCTAGATCAAATGCATATCAATGTTTTTACCTATACATACAAATACATGCACTCTGAGTTCATTGTTATTTGCTTTTGTTTTATTTTTTTGAATCCTGCATCTTTAAATCAGAGATTAGTTGACTTACAAAGGTGACACAGAAAAGAATTTAAATAAAAATCAATCCTGTATCAATGAACAAGTAGAACCTAGCTCAAAATAATTAGTAAGTCAAAAATCATTTAACTAGTTTATTTCGTTATAAAATGGTTATAAATTGTTACATAATGATTATAAAATGATATAACTAGATTATTTGGTTGAAGAAAATGAAGAACCTACCTCAAAATAATTAGTAAGCCAAAAACATTTTGGGTCAGTGTTTTCCACGGTGAACAACACATTTTTGTAAGGTACAACTGTTCCTTCAGGAACTGCTTTGATCCGAAGTGGGAGGTAGCCATCATGTTCCTAAAATGAATAATAATATATTTTATTATATATGCTAGATTTTAAAGCATAGAAAATGTTAATGTGGATATTTTTTATTGATCAACAAAACTGACACAAAAACATTTATGATAAGTATTGTAAGAAGATTACTTTAAAAGAATTTCTGCACACTGAATTTGATTGATTCTCAACATGAAAATGAAAGATGAATATTTTTGGTATTGTCCTTTGAAAAAAAAAATAAAAATGTATTTTATAATATTAAATCATTTTGGAAATAATTTTGAAAAAAAATTATTATAGAAAAATTTCCCTTTTTTTCTGTTTCATATTAGCAAACTAAAGTTTTAAAATAAGAATTATCTTATAAGTTTGGCTTGCTTAATCAAATATCAAATAATGAAAAGACCTTATCCTCATCAATATTGAAATATAACTCCTTTCAGATAAAATCAGTCTAATTTAGAAGAGGTGTAAATTATAAAATAGCTTTAAGACTTCTCCCTGAAAAGTAAATAATTCATTTAATCAGTGAAAACTACTGAGAGAAACAAAGACACCTTTCTAGTTTCCAGTCAAGCAATATAAACAAGTTTTATGATCATTCTATATGAGAGATTCATATGGATTTAACCTACTACAAAAAAAATCCTAAATTATTTTTAGTAAGTCTAAAGCAAGAAGATCGGATTTTTCAGTGTGCTCACATTGATACCAAATGTGACACAAGGTTGAATTTTTTAATTTAATGACAGTACTGTGGAAAAATTGCTCAAGCCCCCTTGACACTTCCCCTTTTGATGACGCCTCAGGTGTGGGTTAATGACTCCAGCCCCCTCATGAAGGAGGGGTACTGCCTGGGGGCATAGCCCCCTCGGGCTTGAGCTAATATTATTTTGAAATTTACCCAGCAAAAGCCAGGCAAGAATACATTTAAGACCTTTTAAAATCTATAAAATGGAGATTTTAGATTTACCTATATTTAGTATCTTCTCTTTTCAAATTTGCTGAGGAAAAATACTTTTATATATTAACTAACAGTAATTTTTGTTAAATGTTAACTAGTTTATGGGGGAAGTAAGGGAAAGATTTACACAATAACATTGCAATTTGGCATTTAAAACCAATTTGTAAGCATTCTCTATCTTATACTTGTAAAGTTGTCATTCAGTTATGACTCATCAAGAAGATATGATCCAACAGAATTTAATGCTTCTTCAAGTAACTAAACACAATAAAGTTTGATCCAAATGAGTTTACTCAATGAAATGCTTATTCACTTAAATATCTTAAGATACAAATAAATTCTTTGGGTAAATCTAAATTATAACATGGGATGATTTTTCTCATTAACAGCTTTCCTCTTCTTTTCACACGCACAAACACAAACACTTATTTATTACTCAGATAAAATGATGTTTACTTCACAAATCCATACATTCACAAGTTAATAGAATATGACAACTATAAAATCTAAAAGAAGAAAAAATGTTTAAATTAAGAAAAATGACTTATAATCAGGAAAATCCAGCAGTTTAAATCAGGCTATGGAAGAATGTTTAAGAAATTTCAAAAGAACTAAAAATAAATACATACATACTATACAGTTTTTTAAAATTTATGTTACTAATTTATATATATATATATATATATATATATATATATATATATATTGTCGCGGTCGCCGATTATCCGCTATACAAAGCCGACCTTGACCTTCACAACTCTCGATCTCGCAGATCTAGGTCAAGCAACAGGCCAGAAACCGGACGGCTAGTCCAATATCGTTGATGTCAAACCATACCTAGTACGCATCTGACTATGCTGAGCCATTCTAAACATCGGCAACTATAGACTATAATTTATTATCTACGGCCTTCTACCTCTAGCCAGGAGTTTTGAACAAATCTTTGCAAATATCCTTAGACACTTTTTTTTTTCGCCCAAACTAGGCAGCTCGGCGGAGGCCTGGATCAAAGTGTAGTACACTACCTTTTGAACTTCCGGTGCTTTTGTCGAGAACTTCGGCGCGATCCCGTCTCCACGGTCGATCCGCCCTGGAAGGTGTAACACCTTGACCTACCTCGCCTGGTGATACACTCTGGCGCGATGTTTCCGCGGTTGATCCGCCCTGTGGAGTTGTATTACTGGTCTTTGGCCCTGTTTAGGGACTCCGTCTTCGCCTGGTGATTTGGCGCGATCCCGTTCCCGCGGTCGATCCGCCCCGTGAAGCAGCATCACTGGTCTGCCTTGGCCCTGTTTAGGGACTCCGTCTTCGCCTGGTGATACACTTTGGCGCGATCCCGTTCCCGCGGTCGATCCGCCCAGTGAAGTAGCATCACTGGTCTGCCTTGGCCCTGTTTAGGGACTCCATCTTCGCCTGGTGATACACTTTGGCGCGATCCCGTTCCCGCGGTCGATCCGCCCTGTGAAGTAGCATCACTAGTCTGCCTTGGCCCTGTTTAGGGACTCCGTTCGCATTTCGGCCGAACCAACTACGTTCGCCGACCAATCCTAAACTACCGGGCCAGACCAGCTACATTTTACCGAACCAACTACGTTCGCCTACCAAACCTAAACTACCGGGCCAGACCAACTACCGGACCAGACCAGCTACAATCGACCGAACCAGCTACGTTCGTCGATTAACCAGTTTTATGTAAATGTGAATAAAAACGACACTTTTGTTCATAACAAAAACCTTTGCCTTTGTCCCGTCATTGTCTTGGCTGTTCACATTTATCGTATACTTAAAAACCTTGCGGGGGCGACATCCTACTCGGCCCCGCAATCAAACTTCCCCGACGTGAGACAGCTAAGCGATGATGGAGTCGGCTAAAAGTGATTCTTTGGACATGACGGCTGCGATCATACCTCTGCCTGCATACCACCATAATGCCAAGAACTGGTTCTTGCAGGTGGAATCCATCTTTTTCAATGCTACGCATTACTTCACAGCGAGCCAGATTCGCGAATGTAATGCAGAAACTCCCATCTGATATGATGGACGAAATGATGTCCTCTCCGATTTGCGCGAGCATGAACCGTACGATCACTTAAAGGAAGCAATCCTCAAGCGAACCGGACGTTCCGAGGAAGATATGATCCAAGAGATACTGCGGAACGTCACTAGAGGCGACAAACGCCATCCCAGCTTCTCAGATTGAGGAACCAGCTGGGAAAGCACAACGTATCAGAAAAGGTTCTTCGAGGTTTATGGCTGGAGCATTTGTTTAAATCTGTTGCACAAATCATCGCACCAATGACGAGAGCCACGCCTCTGGATGATTTGGCAGAATCTGCTGATCTTGTTTTTGCACAGTTCGACCACAGCGTTAACGCTGTTCGCGCCCCCGACATAGCGAAGCACGAACGCTACGAGCCTAGTAAAACGGAACGGGCGTTGGCCGACCTTCAACGGCAAATTCATGAGCTCCAGATCTCCCTGCGCCCGCGGACGAGGACATCGACCCCATCTCGACGGAGACGAACCCCCAGCCGAGAACGGCGAAGCGACCAGGGTGTTTGTTGGTTTCATCGCACATTCGGCGATGAGGCCAGGAATTGTAAACCTCCCTGTACACACCCGTCGGCCCGGGAAAACGAATAAACCGGAGAGTCGCGACGACTAACTCTTCCGGTGCCAACACGCAATGTCGTCTATTTTACGTTTGGGATCGACGGAACAAGTTGAAATTCCTGGTGGACACAGGTGCGGCCATCAGCGTGGACCCTTCAGAACGACCACACCGCTAAGCCCACCCTGATCAAACTACGAGCAGCGAATGGTTCCGCGATAGACACGTACGGAGAAAGGTTTACTTTGAATATCGGCATGCGACGCGATTTCACGGACATTTACCGTGGCCAACGTGAAGGTACCCATCCTCGGCGCGGATTTCCTGGCGCATTACGCACTGGCGGTCCATATGAACCCTAGGACTCTGTCCGATACGACGACGAATCTCCGTGTCTTAGGTACCCCTACACGTCAAGGCTCCACAGGAATCAGCGTCGCAACATGCCATGGTCGCGAGTACTTAGATCTCCTGACGCAGTTCACGGATATAACGCTGCCACTCCAAGTAACGGCTTCAGGTGACCATCAGACTCAGCACCACATCAGAACCCGAGGTCCTCCCGCACACTCCCATCCGCGACGACTCGCTCCGCACAAACTGGCGTATTTTCGACAAAATGCTCAGTGATGGCATCATTCGTCCTTCCGATAGCCCTTATGCCTCGCCACTACTTTTAGTGCCTAAACCTGGTGGTGAAGAATTTCGGATATGCGTCGACTACCGGAAATTGAATGCATCGACCGTACCAGACCGATATCCTGTCCCTCATATCCATGATTTTGCATCCGGATTGATGGGGCTCGCATCTTCTCGAAAATCGACCTGACAAAGGCATACCACCAGATCCCCGTCGCTGCGGAAGACGTCCCAAAAACGGCAGTCACAACACCGTTTGGCCTATACGAATTTCTAAAAATGCCGTTCGGTCTACGTAACGCTGCCCAGACCTTCCAACGATAGACGAAGTCCTGCGCGGACTTCCGCATGTATTATATCGACGACATCTTGGTGGCCAGTACAGACGCCGATTCTCACAGACAACACCTGCGAGAAGTCTTCCAGCGACTCTCGCACTACGGCCTGAAGTTGAACCTGGACAAGTGCGTTTTCGGGGCGCCCAGCGTTGACTTTCTCGGGCACCGCACCGACGCAGACGGCATAGCACCTCTGCCAGACAAGATCAGCTCGATCCGGGACTTTCCTACACCGACGTCCATGAAGCAATTGCGACGTTTCCTCGGCATGCTCATTTTATCGTCGGTTCATACCAAATTGCGCTACCATCCTCCAGCCACTGACGAACCTGCTGCAGAGAAGAAAAAGGACATCTCTTTGGAGGAGATGCTCTGCACGCATTCCATACAGCGAAGGCTGCATTGGCGAATTATACCAGGCTTTCGCATATCAACGACGATCCAGAGACACGACTATTCCTGA